ATATATATATATAGATATCTATCTATCTATCTATCTATCTATCTATCTATCTATCTATCTATCTATCTATCTATCTCTATATACCGATAATATACTATGCTTATACTATAATCATAATAGTAAATCGACTGGATTTATATTGTCTTTCATATAGTGCCTTACACTGTCACATTCAACCATTCACACACATTCATACACTGATGGCAGGTGCAAGGTGCAAACTGCTCCTCAGAAAGTAACTAACCATTAACGCATGTCGATGGCACAGCATTTGGAGCAATTTGGGGTTCAGTGTTTTGCCCAAAGGAGCCGGGGATTGAACCGCTACATATCACAGGCAATGGATCAAAAAAATGAATTGGCACATTCACCTACCTCTGTACATATTTTGATTTACACTACTGCATTTGTGTGCATACCATGATGTCAATCATTATGTGAAACCCCCTTTTTTAGATTCAAATAACTAATTAAATCCAAACTGATAAGAAAAATAAACACTTAACATCAGTGTGATAAGAACTACCTAAAATGCCAGACATATTTTTGGGAAAAATGTATTTGACGTGTATGTAGATTTTTTAGTTTACTCCATGTCCCATCTGCTAACATGGAGGCAGTAGGCTTTTTTAATATTAGTCTGTACTGCATTCAGCCACCAGGGGGCGATTGAGATGTTTTGGCTTTATGTGTAAAGAGCTCACATTTTTACCTATATGTACTGTGTGGCATGTTTTGTTTGCATTAAGAATATAAAAAATTGTCCTTCCATCTGTCCTAGTCCCTGTAGACACCAGTCTCATTATTGTGGTCCAGGCCAAAGAGGATGCCTACATCCCTCGTACAGGGGTCCTCAGTCTGCAGGAGATCTGGCCAGGTTGTGAAGTCAGATATCTGAATGGAGGACACATCAGTGCATACCTGTTTAAACAGAATGTCTTCAGGTAAACTACTATCTCAAAGACACACATCGTGCTGCTGAGCGGCCACTCACAAAATCAAAAAATTACCTGCAACTGGACTTTGACTTCAAAACCAGTGACTCATGACTGCACTTGGACTTTAGCCTTTTGACATAGAATGCCTTGTTATCATTCACAAGCCAACCCATGTTAGTGTAGAGCAACAGACGGACAACAGAAGTTAAATCAGATTATCACATTCGGATAGTATGGTGTTTTCCTAAAAAAAAAAAAAAAAAAGAAAAGGGCTGCGTTTTTTTCCTTTTTTTCAGTACACTAAAAACTGGGCCTTTTCGGGTAATGAGTCAGGCGGGGTTTGCTGAAGTGTAAACTTCCCCAGCTCCTAGAAACAGCTGGTCAGAGCCACTAACATTAGGCTAAACCCAGATAGATTCCAGTTTCTTTTCAGGATCCTGAAGTATGTCTCAAGCACTTCTCCTTGGTGTGACCTTGCACTTGTATCCCTTCCTCTGTGATTCACCAACTTCACCAGTGTATATTTAGTGCAGCACCACCAGCTCTGTATCTTCACCGGCTGCCGGTGCCTGACTCTTGGCTGTTCGGCCTTCTTCCTGTATAGGGCGTAATTCCTCTGCACTGCATTCTGGGTCTGATTCCAGCTTTACATTAGTAAAATCGTTTACTTCCATATCTGCAGAAACATTGCCTTGGTCTTCCAGTAGTTGCTCTAGCCTGGACTGGATTGTTTTGGGGTGTATCCTCATGGTGTTAGTGATGATTTCATGTATTGGTTTTCCACCAGGCTGTCACAGTTGAGGAGATGGTGTTATTCTTACAGTAATTCAGTTTCTTGATGATGATTGTGGTAGGAAGGCAAGGTCTGCATTGGTTTTACATTGATTTTGTTAATTGTGCTTTTGGGTCTTTTTGATTGAATATTGTAGTTGATTTGACAAGAATTAGTAGAGAGCTTGGTGCTTTGGTAATATTAAAAGTATTTTTAGGCTATGTTGGGATATACAATGTATCTCTCCATACACATTTTCAAGCTAACTAATAAAAAAGGATCCAAGTTGAACTTTTCACACAATAGCAGCTATGAGTCAGTCAAAAGACAATTTAAAATAGCCTAAAACCAGAAGCCTCAAAAGTCCATTTCAGAGCTGCAGAGTAAGGTAATCAGATATTGCTATCCAGAATTCCTTCAATTTTATGGTTTTATTATATTGCTGTTGTGAGTGGTTCGATAAAAATGGGAAATAGGGTAGTTGAGAGTGGGCGTCGTTGTCTGGTTTCCTGATGAAGTGTGAAGGATGGTGAGGTGACCCTCTTTGTGATGATTGGCCCTAGGTAAGTCCAGTTGATTTTAGCCAATGCTTTTTTGGCATCTAATGACACAATTATGGTTTTGTTTGTTTTTGTTGTGATATATTGATTAACATAAAAAGCCTTTGAGGCGTCCGGTTAGCTCAGTCGATAGAGCTGGCGACCCATATACGGAGTTGCTGCAGCGGGTTCGAGTCCGAGCTGCGGCCCTTTGCTGCGTGTTGTCCC